GGTTCGTTAAAATTTGGAAAAGGGGCCCATTCAAACCTTCTGGAAATGAATCATCGAAATGAACTAATGAGAAAAAACATCTTATTGGAATTTTGTTTGAAAGATTGGAGTGAAACAAATATAAAAAAGTATTGACAAAAAACAGAAGATGTACCAAAATCGATGAAGAAGTTGCAACTATAATAATAATATTATATTATCATATACTAAGGCGCATTCAACTATCTGATGAATTTTTGTGAATTCTGTTAAAAAAGAAACAATTCCAATGAAATATCTACATTATATGAAAATTCATTGAAATTACTGCATCGGTTACCTTACCATATGACACGCCAACAAAAAATCAATAATAGAAAATGACGGATATTTGATATAAAATGTCCGAAATTCGGTTTCTGACAAAGCATTGGCGGAGTTTATCTGCATTCGGTATATCATGTGTTGAGTATAGATGAGTATTACTCAAAGCAGAAAAACTCCACTCAACGATGTTGATGTTGTCGCCTCGCATCTTGGGCAAACTCTTTGATTATTCTATTCCTCTCGTAAATTATATGCTTGTTTCAAGTGGCAATGTTTGGTCATGAATGAATTAAATAATTAAATGAGAGCGAAATATGGATAAGCTCAAAATTCAGGACCTTTGGCGTCCTGCAAGTGATGTCGACAGGACGCAGGAACAAAATTTGAATTGGCTACTACACTATAATACATTTTTGTAATCTGGTTATATCAAATGTTGTGGTAATAACTTAGAGTATCTTACTTCTTATGCAAATGACAATATTCTTTGTCATTTAGCCTTTCTACACCTATAATAGCCAACCTAATCAATTCCCTTTCTTGAAATACATTTTTTCTTCTCCAACCATGGTTGTTTCCAGACGGTGGGGAATTGAAAAAGGGAAATCTGAAACTATAAAACTATAAGACTAACTATAAAAAAATCAGAAAGATAGAAGAAAGACACACTTGTTTAAGTAAGTTCAGTGAGTGAAGGGTGATCCATAAATTATTGTACATAGAAGTAAAGTAGGATTTTGACTTCATAAGATTGTGTTTTGGACCAACCCAACTTTATTTCAAGTTTTTGAATGGTTTTTGAACAGAGAAGCATACAATATTCGAAAATAAGGGTTTTTAGATATGAATTATAACTTGGTATATACTTCGATTCATTCTTTGGAGGGCACCCAAATTCGTGACATAAATCCGAGCTCTACTTCCTCTCCAAAGTATTCTTATAGATAAATATCGAATTTATGATATTTCGCAGTGAATAGAGCTATACTCACTTGTTTTCGATCACAAAACTTTACAGTTTTCGATGTACATATATTTTTTCTGCAACCGACACAAAAGTCCATTTTGATACCAAAATTAGCTCTTAAATTGACGTTTCTATTACTGACACAAAAATAGGTATGTTGCTAGGCAACATATTTAGTTCCTAGGAGCTGAAGTTGAATTTTAGTTCCTAGGAGCTGAAGTTGAACTTCAGCTCCTAGGAACTAAAAAGAATCTACTGGACGTCATCAAGAATAAACAACATTGTGATGGTTGGTTATTTGGGTTGAGACGCATACCTGATTTGTTGGAGATATAAATACACCTTATTATAGTTTAGTATTGGAATTATCAACATCCCAGTTGAGTATTTTTGTTTTGATCAGGGAAGCCTTCTAGATTTAAATACTTGCTTGATCTGTATTTCATTCGTTATTCTCGGGAAGGATAACTTGTTTTTGAATAATCACGGCAAGCAATAGTTTTTTCGTCTGAAACAACGATATTGTTTAGCTTCATTTGATTATCAAGTCAAACACAGTGTAGTATGCCATTATGGAGAGGAATAAATAATCACTATTATCATTGTTGATATGCTCACTAACCTTACATTTTCCACGTCTTGTTCCTATAGCTGGCACTGGCGCGGTATTTGCCATTGGAGCACCTGGTCCATACACAAATATGTCACTCTGTGGTTGTATTTATATTGAAACTACAATTCGAACATCCTAGAAAACCTAATCTGCTGTTAATGCAGGTAGAATATCCTCACCACATGAATTATTTGTCAATATTTGTTGCATTGCATACATATGGCACGGCATTGGTGGTTACTTCACATGTTCATTTGAGTTAATTGTTTCGGTTGCAGAAAAAATAGCATGTTTCATTCGGATCAAAAGTGACTTTGTTCGACTCGCAAAATTTGCTTGTTGTATTTGAATGAGCCAATGAAAATTATTGAGACGGGTGCCGAATCCTATAGTGGAATGTTTAAATGCAGCCGGTAACTGGAGAATTAACCCCATATCTACGCCTCTGTTTCATGATTGCCTGGGGGGACACATGAGAAATGACCGCCCTGACAGGAAAAGAGCGAATGACAGGGCTCCGTTTACCAGCTTCGATCTAATTCGATTTTTTCACTGCGATTATTACAAATCGAAGTCATTAACAATGGGAGCACATAGTTATTATACAGGCCGAACGGCCATTAATAATAAATTGATAAAAGATAAGCATCCTAGTTGGGGCATTAATTAGACGTTCCTGTATAATTCATCATGTTATGTGGTATCTCAATATTCATCTGTTAATTATATACGCGTTCACCGTAATCATCAATGCGACGGCACAGAATCACAATATTTATTGGCTAATTTATAGTTTTTACTTTGGAAAAATTCAGTGTAAGAAGCAGTACTCTTGAGGACAAGCCATTGAAATTTCAAAAAGACGGCGATCGTATCAGATAGTTTTTTAGCTAATTGCTTATGAATAATCATTCCTTTTGCAGGAAGATCATCCATGGTAAACATGGGTGGTATTCTTGGAATTGAAACATACAGAGATGAATTATAAGGAATCTCTTGGAGCGCACGGAAGGGAATCCCTAATATAACTTCACTAACAGCATTGTGGCTATTTTGGAGTCGAAATTACGCCAGTGGGGCAACCAGCCACTTCCGTATGGGAATTTCAGTTGTGGAGTGTTTCTTTTCTGCTTTTCTACTGAGATGGCGTTGCTTTTATATTGTCTATGAAATGTGCCTCTGAGAGAATATAATGCCGACTTGATTTATGTTTGGCTAGGCTACGCTTAGTCGACGGTCTTAGGACTGCTGGCTGGAGACTGCCCTGCACTGATGAGAGTCAAAGAGCTCGAAACTGGTCTGTAGGTGTCTAGCGTGGCCTGGCTGAATCGAGATCAATGGGCATTCAGGGAAGAATCACTTGTATCAGTAGTCGTTAATATGAGTCAATGCATAGATTTCGGAAGGCTGTAATTCAAAGTTTTGCGTGGCATTAGCCAGGAAAATAGTTGTTTTTCTCCCGAAATCTACCATTGTTGTTCATTTTAGGAAATTGTGTGGATATCACTTTGGGTTTTTTGTATTTATTCAATCCCTATTATGGTCGAAAAACATCGTGCGTAGTTTGGGAGGATAGGGAGAGAAGGTAGGAATCGGACTTTTTCTGAACTTCTAGGGATTATAAGTTTTTGGCATTACTTTGTTCAACAAAGAATAATCGAAGCTCTGCCGTTCTACGGAAGAACGAGTTTTGGTAAAGAGTTGTTCGAGTTATTTCGAGGTTGACGACGAAAGGATGTGTTGAATGTGTTTACTTGGTTTGTTTTGACTTTTTATTCTCAAAGAAGATATTCGATATTGCAATTCTCTTTTGGGTTTCAGTTTTATATATTTCAATTGATGATAAAGATGTTATGTAAAGCAATTCTCTTTTGGGTTTCAGTTTTATTTCAATTGATGATAAAGATGTTATGTAAAGCATTACGTACTTCTTTTGTATTCTCATGTTTTTTTTTGTATTCCGGAACAACCTTTATATATCGGGTGTTTACGTATCTACGGCTCTATATTGCTTTATTGCAATAAGAGATAGACAGAATAGTTCTGGTGATGAAGTTCAAGCATAAGTAGGATCTACAAACCGAAATTATTTTGATCTTTACAGCATATTTTTTGAGCTAGGAGTAACTTGAAGTGAGTTCGATTTTCCAAATGGAACATTCTGTATTCTTCCACATATTTTGATTAGTCATCATCCGATCTACATGCAATTCCCTCACGACGTTGCCAATTTAGTTAAAATCACTTTAAGAAATTATAATACTTACACAGATATTGATTCCAATAAACCTACTCCATTCAAAATTATCCATGAACTTTGATGATATTTCGACTATTGCTCCATAATGGAGAGTACTATTACATGATGATTTATAATTAACTGCTCATGTTGACTATTTTGAACGGTCATAGGTTTGTTATTTCGAGTGCAACACCCTGTAAATTTCAGTATGTTCTGTGTACTTTTCTTGAAAACAAACAAGGTATTGTGAAGTATGAAAGAAAGGGTGATTCGACTATTTATCTTCTTCGCTTGTAGTTGCAAATGGAATAAATCACATTATTCCTTGCGTTCGATGCCAAGAGCAGTAAAGATTGTTGTTTATTAATCTACCACCCATGATGGCACATTATCCAACACGGCCCCATGTGAGCATAGCAAATATCTGTATTATATGGCAATCCCCAGGGTTTCATTCATCAAAACTGAATATTTCTCATAAGCAACTCAAAAGAACATGAAATACAAGATCCTTTCTTCACAGGCGTATATATCAGTGGATTTCTTATATATTAATGACCTTGAACTACACAGGGTAGTCCAACTATGGAAAAATGTTGCCAAAACATCTTTCTTTCTTCGTTTTATAAAAAGCACTATCATAGTTGTTTGGTCTACGTCAAACGAATGCGTAGAGATTTTGTAAAATATTTTTCTTCGTAATGAGAAAAGAGTTTGACATTTTATTCATAGGTCAGTACTTTTTTCTCAGATATACAGGGTGATTCATCATAAATGGAAAATCTCTGATCTACAGAGAGTAAACACAAAAATACTGAGATTTTGCCCAATATGCCCAAGTTTTTATTTATTTTAGTTTTTGTCGTTCACAGGTAGCCGATTACTATCACGACTCCTCGAGCGGCAACCAAATGGACGTGGTGATAGTAAGAATAATGTATCTAGAGAAGGAAGAAGAAGAAATCGATTTGATAATCAACCAGGACGCTGATAAGACACTCGAGAGTTTCTGCAAGTGGCAGCAGAAGATAAATCCCAAGGATATCGAGAACCCCAATCATCACGACATTGCTGTGTTACTGACAAGGTTGTATATTCGTTGGTTCAGAGATGTGCACTACGAACTATTGATGATTATATCCACTTCACTAGAAATAATGGCACATTCATGATAAGACTGAAAATAATAATTTGGCGCTTTCAGATATGATATTTGTGCGGATGCTGGAGCAGATTGTGGATTGATGGGACTTGCATACGTAGCTGCTGCTTGCACCAAAGACGAAAACTGTGCTATCAATGAAGACAGTGGTCTAGTTCTCGGTATTGTCGTGGCACACGAAATGGGACATGTGTAAGTGAGGAAAATACAAATCATGAGCTGTGGTAGGAATCAGAGACAAAAAATTTCGAACCCTCTCGCCACTACAAACAATTAATTTTGGTAACCACTCACCCTTTTTGAATTGATATAATTTGAGAAAATTTCCCTAAGAAAATTAAAGGAGAATCAATTCGAAAATTAACTGATAGGATGTCCCCTATTATCGTCCTGGTATATTCATTTCCAAAGACTGTTGAAGGCTATCACCATTCGTTTGATGGGCGCAATCTTGCTCAGCGCAATAACATGTGGCATTTCATTGAGGCAGAAAGTGTGTGTTTTGAAAATGAACATATTTTGACTTATTTCTTCATCGTCCTAGTATAAATAAAAAGATATTCGCATTATATCCTCACTGTTGGTTTCTGGTATAGATCTCACGATAATGTCATTTTTGAAAAATCAGAGGTCTTCCTCAAATGGCGGCAAAGGAAAAAAGGACCTTGCACCATTTTCATTCAAATCTTGTCTACAGTGAAATTTTGTGAGAATCTAGGATTGGATAGATCAAATCATGCTGAACAAGAAATGTCCTTTGATCCAAGGTCCGTTATGTCCGTTAAAAAAAATTATACGCTCTTGAAGCCAAACGAGATAACCTTCACCAGAGCAGCACATCCCGTGTGTAATATGGTTTTTCTGCAACCGACACAAAAGTCGTCCATTTTGATACCAAAATTAGCTCTTAAATTGACGTTTCTATTGCTGACACAAAAATAGGTATGTTGCTAGGCAACATATTTAGTTCCTAGGAGCTAAAGTTGAATTTTAGTTCCTAGGAGCAAAAGTTGAACTTTAGCTCCTAGGAACTAAAAAGGGTCTACTGGACGTCATCAAGAATAAACAACATTGTGACGGTTGGTTATTTGGGTTGAGACGCATACCTGATTTGTTTCCGATTTCAGCAGATTTGGCATTTCATACCCATGCTGGAGATATAAATTCGCCTTTATTATAGTTTAGTATTGGAATTATAAACATCTCACTTAAGTATTTTTGTTATGATCAGGGAAGCCTTCAATATTCAAATACTTGCTTGATCAGTATTTCATTCGTTATTCTCGGGATGGATAACTTGTTTTTGAATAATCACGGCAAGCAATAGTTTTTTCACAAGTATGGAGAGGAATAAATAATCACTATTATCATTGTTGATATGCTCACTAACCCAACATTTTCCACGTCTTGTTCTTATAGCTGGCACTGGCACGGTATTTGCCATTAGAGCACCTGGTCCATACACAAATATGTCACTCTGTGGTTGTATTTATATTGAAACTACAATTCGAACATCCTAGAAAACCTAACCTGCTGTTAATCAATCAATCAATCAATCAACTTCATTATTCCCAAGAAACAACATTTGTTTATAGCAGGGAACATAGTGAATACATAAATATATTTGACAAAATAAAATAAAGAAGACAGTAAAATAAGACTCACACTCAAAAAGAATCTTTTTTTTTTCAAGTTCAAATGAATATGATCCTCAATTGACTCAGCTGTTAGGTACACAATTGAAAACTATAGTAGAATATTCTCACCACATGGATTATTTGTCAATATTTGTTGCATTGCATACATATGGCACGGCATTGGTGGTTACTTCACATGTTTATTCGAGTTAATTGTTTCGGTTGCAGAAAAAATAGCATGTTTCATTCGGATCTAAAGTGACTTTGTTCGACTCGCAAATTTTGCTTTCGCTCGGCTTCGCTAAGCGCTCCGCCTCGCAAATGCAAAATTCGCTTGTCAAACAAAGTGTCACTTTTGATCCTAATAAAACAATCTACTATTTATTTTCGAGATGTCAGATAATAGTCATTTATGTTATGTCAGTAAAAGTCATTGAGCAAAAGGAGAAAAAAGCGTATTACTTTGTTCAAATACATATAAGATGGCTTATCAGAATAGGTTTCGTTGCGATAGCGAAGGCAATATTAATGCTACGGCACGCATCGATTGAGATCAAAATGTTGAGCAGCAAGCTATCGCAATCCATCGTCCACAGGTTCTAGGAAAAAAAGATGAACCCCGAACCGATCGTAGTCGTTTATTTCTGAACTGTTATTGATCTATTATAGAGAAACTTGGAATTTGGGATAACGCTCATTCTATGAACCTGAATGTTGTCTCATCCATGCAAGAGTGTGCATATTTTGTGGCGCAAATAATAATTTACTTCACCTATCATTAGTTGCTTGTGTCAATGTTCATATTGTGAATAATATTTTTATCCCTGAAAATGCCTAATCCTGTTGGGAACATGTCAACGCTGATGGAATAATATTGCGACCATTGATTGGTGGTTTACGTTATACGGAAAGGCCACTAATAGTCCTTGGTCGAGACTTGCAACGTATTCGAACAAAGTAATACGCTTTTGCTCAATGACTTTTACTGACATAACATGAATGACCATTACCTGATAAACCGAAAATATAATATTAGCCGGAACCATATTACACACAGAATGTGCTTTTCTGGTAGAGGTTATCTCGTTTGGCTTCAAGGGCTTATGAATTTTTTCAACGGGCATAACGTTTCTTGGACCAGAAGACATTTCTTGTTCAGCATGATTTGATATATTTAATCCTAGATTTCCATAAAATTTCGCCGTAGGCAAGATTCCGATGTAAATGGTGCGGGGTCCTTTGCAAGGATTTCCAGCATATGAAAAAATATGACCATCAGAACAAATAGTTTCTAATATTTCAATAATATAAATGAGGAAGAGAATTAGATCCAAAAAAGTTTCTTGAGGAACACCACAAATAAGATGTGTTCTTTGGCTGTAATTATCTCGTAATTTTGCAAATGGTTCTCTTTTCGATGAGTAACTATTTCATGAGTCCAAACTCTTACCCCTCATGCCACAAGTTTGTAGTTTTCTAAAAAGAATGTCATGCGAAACTGTATCGAAAACCTTCTTCAAATCTAGAAATCATATAGTTTCTTTGTTGTCATCAAGCGATTTGATTATTGTATTTGTAACATGAGATATCGAGGTTTCTGTTCCTATTCCAGGTCTGAAGTCAAATTGATTGAGAGATATTTGATTGTATTCACTTCAGATATTAAATCAGTACACGAACGAATCAAACATTGTGCAATATTTAATATCGACCCATTTTATTTTCACTGTATTGGGCATAAGGAGTTTAGCTCTTGGGAATATTCAAGAAATATCTCCATGGGCCCTCTTTCAGGGGTCATATTTCCCTAAGGAGACATTTTCGACTCTTGTTCATTAGAAGTTTCTTCCTATTTTTGGTCTTAGAAGCCGCTGGTGAAGTGTAGCAGGCTTATTCCATCGGTACACCCTGTATACTAATCCAACAGACTTTTTCAGTATGGGATGTTCCCATGACAAGGAGGGCGAATCATCTTGCCCAGCTCAAGACAAAGACGAATCTTATTTCATAATGGCCCCCTACGTCCATTTGTTCACGACAAAATGGTCGACATGTAGCAGAGCTTTCATAACTGCTCTGTTCGAGTAAGTTCAATCAATCTGCAATAGTAGGGAAGGCCAAGCGGGGATTTCGGGATTTACTCGAGCGCGGCAGATTAACATAAGGGGAGTATCCTTGGACCTTGTGAAGTACTCCCACCATACCTGGGCCCTACATATGGTGTCGAAAGTTTAGGGCAGCCGATCAGATTAGTGAAAAAGAAGAGTGTGCATTTCAATAATCTGACGATTTGAGCATTTGAGCGTGACATAAGGAAATGGCGGAGAGCCACAAAGTTTCAAAAAAAAATCGTCACCTGTACATTCCCGAGCCTGGTTGATTTTTTTCTCAATTTGAAGGCCACTAGTCACGGATAATGAAAATAACATAATCTGCCGATTTGCACAAGTCGAAGTAGCGAAGTGTGGTGCTTGCAGTCACTGGGAACTCATATTAACCAAGGAAATATCGGAAATTAAAATAAAATATACAAATTCAACTCAATTCATATAACATCATGCGTCACTGGCGTTACACACAAGTAGTGAAACAAAGTAAATTAGTAAAATGACAAATTTTACTATCACAATCAATGAAATTAATCAAATCAAAAACGTGCTGAACGTTGGCTTGTTGCCCAACGCGCTGCGCTACGCCGCTACGCGCTCCAGCCGCTATGAAAAGCATGACCACAGCATGACGGGGTGACGGGGATTCCCCGAGATTTCGCACGCGACGGTGCCATATTTAGTTGATGTTCTAAAAGTCGCCAAAAACGGGCACTTTTTGAAAAATCGCCGCCAGGCTCGAAACATCGTAAAAAGTAGTCATTTTGGCGACAAGTCGCCACAAATGGCAACACTGTGTGTAACGAAAAATATTCCAGAAATGTACTGCTCATGAGACTAGACCATCTCAAGAAGTTTTGTTTATCTATCTCAAACAGCAAAGTCGTTATCTCACTCTGCCACACTATTGGTCCACCATGTATGTCTACATGAGCCTTCCATCTCAAAATTGTGGATTCTTTGAGCTCTTGAAGTCCTGCTACAAAACACTGACCCACCCTGTATATTTTATATTTCAGTTATCACATTCAGTTAACAAAAAAAATCTAACCGGCAGATTGAATTAATTCCTCTACATAATTGTCAGATGATGGTTCGATATGACAAGAACATCAAAATGAAGCGTCTGTATAATATTCTGACGCGCTCTAGTATTTCAAGGTCACGATTTTTTTTTCATTTCCAAAAATTGATCATGACCTTGATCGCGTCCTAAATGTCAGTCTATTGAATAGGCGCACTACTTGAGGGTTCACTTAACGTCTCTTCTCAATATCTGACGCGCTCAAATGAATTTTTTTCACCTATTCTCTATCCTTCCGTATGCCCACCCCCACCATGCAAACCGGCAGATTGATATTTTTCGGTTACCAGAAACACGTGGGGCGCATACACTAATTATATCTGATGCGCTGGAGTATTTCTATGTGACTGTTTTTTTTTACATATTTGAACACCTGTACACGCTCTCCCCACCAGTGGAAGGTCATATATCATGTGAACTTTTTTTCATTTTCGCATCAAATCTTCACAATCTGATACGTCCCCACGACGCTCGAGTAAATCCCTAATTAGCCTCTTCGCCTCCCCTACTACAATGAACAGCGAATGATGAAAACCCTGACTGTTTTACTGCAGGAATAATCTTGGAGACTGTTTGAACGATGAACCAGAAATATCCCTATACTCCTACAGAAACGCCCTACCTGGAACCATCTATGATGCAGATGCCCAATGCGAAATCGCCTATCCGGGATCCACGATCTGTGTATTGGACCAGGAAAAGTTCTGCGAAATCCTGCTGTGCAAAACTTCAGATGACTCTTGCATGTCCAACGATGAACCACCTGCTGATGGAACCAAATGCGGATCGAATAAAGTAAGTGACTCAGAATTTCAATTCAGTTCAGCCATTCTGGATTTCAAGTTCTCTTTCCGAATTTTAACTCCAAAAGGATCCTATTATAATTTGGCTTTCCAGTGGTGTTTTCATAAGCAGTGCGTGGAGATTGGGGAAAGGCCGGAGGCTATAAACGGAGGTTGGGGAACTTGGGGAACATGGTCCCCATGTTCCAGAACTTGTGGCGGAGGTATCTCTATGGCTGAAAGAGAGTGCGACAATCCGGTCCCACAGCATGGCGGCAGATACTGTCTTGGGGATCGAAAGAAGATCAAGATATGCAACAAAGATGTAAGTAAACAATGGCTTCAAGATACCTATTTGAAGTTAAGAATATCTTCGAATAATTACAGCTTGACCCACATTTTTGATACATGCATGGTTTATCGAGGACTTGAGTTGACAGTTGTTCTCTCAATGTTATTGTTGGACCGATTTTTTGCCTGAATAGAGATGATACCTTTTACTAGTTCTGATTTTAGCCCTGCTCTTCTGACAAACCAAGCTTCAGAGAAATTCAGTGTAAGGAAATGGATAAGAAGCCTTTCAACGGGATGATGCACACATGGAAACCCTTTCTTCAAAAAGGTTCATATTTTGATTTCACACTACCTATATGTATTTTTTTCGTTGTTGTGTCTCAGAAATAGGCTGTGTAGTATTATCTTTTCTGTAACAATGAGCAACTTCTCAATGTGATACAGACAGCAAAGACACCAATATACCATCAAAAGTGAGTTAAGTGTACTTTATGAGTTCCTACTTTTTATTCTCCAGTAACAACACCTTGTAAGGAAAGGGTTCGAAGAGATGGGAATTTTTTTTTTTTTTTTTTTTTTTTTTATTTATTTATTTATTTATTGAACAAATAACTTCCAGACAGAATAGGCTCTGGTATAAGGAAGTACATAATTATATACCTATAGGTAAACATATCATTATACAAAATATATCAACAACTGTAAATTGACAAACAAAGAATAATATTTGTAAAAAAAAAAAAAATGGCATGTTCAATTTTATCCAGTTCGCTCAGAAATAATCAATTTTTTCACTTCATTTTTGAATGAACCTATGTTTCTGCAATTTTTTATATTGTCAGGTAGTTTATTGAATTCAGTTAAGGCTGAATGAGTGAATCTTTTTTGTCCGATAATGGAGCTAGCGGCGTCAAGATGAAACAAGTTATATTGTCTTGTTTCATGATTATGAATTTCAGAATTCCGTATCAACATAAAATTCGACTTCAATTTTTTATTTATGATATTATATGATATTTTGAGAGTTTCAATTCTATATATTTCATCTAAAGAATACGTATTTGTTATTTCAAACAATTGATTGGTTGGTGTATCAAATGGGAGACGATACAATACTTTTAACGATTTTCTATATAATGTTGATATTTTATTGAAATTGTTCTTTGAACAAGTTCCCCAAACATTTATTAAATAGTTGATACGACTCAGTATATGAGAGTAGAGAATCATGTTTGCAATTTTAATATCAAGTTTGGGACATCTTCTCAATGCACCAATAATTGGAGATATTTTTTTTGTCAGAAGATCAATATGTTTGTCCCACTTCAACCTGTCATCAAACCAAATTCCAAGATATTTTATCTGGTCAGTTTGTTTTAAGAGTTCATTTTTCATTTTAAGGTTGAGGAAAATTTTTTGTTTATTTTTTTGGTGAAAAATCAAATATTCTGTTTTTTTAGTATTTATCGATAAAAGGTTAGAGTGGAGCCATTTTTCAAATATTTTCAAGTCTTCATTTATCATATTTTCTAAATTTGAAGGATTCTTGCTTTCATATAAAAGTACTGTATCATCTGCATACATGGTATATTTACTCGTGAGACCAATTTCACTGATATTTTGAACATAAAGTAAATATAATATAGGTCCTAAAACAGAGCCCTGTGGGACACCCTTATTGATTAAGAGTTTATTTGACACAGAGTTGGTTGATTTTGTATTGATTGTCCTATTTTCAGAGTAGAGTTGGTATACATGCATAAACCTTGAACCCATCTGGTTTATAATGATTAGGCAAGAGCTTCATCAAAGAGTCTTTCATCTAACCTGTTTCACCAAGGCTTACAAATTTTGTGCTATTGGTGAATTTGATGAAGCTCTTGATACTCTGGACATCATATTTTGAATATCTTTATCAAAATTCATGATGACTAAGGTTAAATCATAGACTATTTTTTTAACTGCTTCTTTTAAGTGTGTTAGCAATTTTCTTTCAAACCTACCTCTGCAATGTCACTATAATAGTGCTACACAGTAAAGTCCAGTGGAATATGCTATGAATCTAGATCTGATAACTCCCAATGTATCATCCTTCTCATAGATGAACCATGTGTTTTATACTGCCTCAACGAAGTAGGAGCTTTCGCCAAGCTAGAACCAAGAGTAAAGGATGGAACACCATGTCAAGCTGGAACAAGGAATTTATGTGTCAGCGGAAAATGCCGGGTAAATATCGACCCCAAATTTTTTTCTGAAATAGTTATTGTCGATAAAATTGCACTTTCTCAATATATTTTGTGTGCCTATAGTGTACAAAATTTTTCAATATCAAAATACTGTCATTATTTTACGGAAAGATGTGGATAAAGGTTGTTGTTAGGCCATGGAATGCTTGCCTGTGGGGGGTCCATATGATGATTTTTGCTAATTCGGCTTGTGCAAATCGTTAGATTTCGTTATTTCCGTGATCCAGGACTAAGAACCTCCAAAATAAAACAATTAACTGAGCTCAAGAATGTCCAGGTGAAGTTTATTTTTGCAAATTTCTGGCTCCTCCATTTCCTCATGTTGAGCTCAAATTGTCAGATTATCGAAATGTACAGGGTGGCCAACTAAGAATCCAGAGTTCGATACCTCTGTTGTCTTGAGAGAAACAAAAAAAAGTTTTGCATTCAAATTAAAGTGATAACCGAGCTTCACATTTCGAAATTTCTTTGAAATGCACAGGGTGTTCCGTAAGGTCACAGCAGATCAAAGCTATGTTTTTTCATCGGAACACCCTATATTTCATTTCATTTTTGAATTCTCCCTGAAGATCTGATTTCAACGACGTATCATACTTAGGGTCTAGCAGTGAAAGTTACTCACATATAGGGTGTGCAAAATCGAGATTTTTCAAGTTCAGGATTTTTTTCTGTCGAAACTGTTCATTATTCGTCAAAACGGTTTACATGTCCCTATCTCAACTTTTCACTCACTATCAATTGGTGTTCAATTGACATTTAATTGAAACAAATTATTAATTCAGATTTTTTGACCACCTTGTATCAATTTCAATGAAATGAAATATAGGGTTGTTCCAATGAAAAAACATTGCTCTGATATGCTGTGACCTTACGGAACAGCCTGTGTATTTGAAAGAAATTTTGAAATGTGAAGCTCGGTTATTGCTTCAATTTTGATTCATAAATTTTTTTTGTATCTCTCAAGACAACAGAGAAATTGAACTCTGGAGTCTTAGTTGGCCACCCTGTACAATCTTCTGCCTCTAATTAACTTAGTTTGCCTTAATCTGACGCGTTCAAGTTCTTCTAACGATGGATTATTGTGTTCTAATCTGATCAGCTGTATTAGACGTTTGACTCTTCAGAAAGTGCTCAGGTATGGTGAAAGTACTTCACAAGGTGCGAGGTTACCCCTTTATGTTATTCTTCTGCGCTCCAGTAAATTCCGAAATCCCCGCTTGGGCTCCCCTACTACTAATATTATTATTAAATTTCATTGATAGATAATTTGTATCCTCTGTATACTATCGCAACTGACATACATCAATCAACATTTTCTGTCAGCTCAATCACTTCAAAATCATCAGTGTTACATCATCAATTCATTCGAACATATTCAAAACCATTGAAAAAATACATTACAACAGTTTTAACAATGACCAAAATCGATACAGAATGCGTCACCGTAGATATCAATGTATTTCCAACCCCTCCACCACCACCACCCCCTGCATTGAATCCCATCCCCGAGAAAATACTGAAAATATTAGAAAAATACAAATACAACTGGAGACTGGATCAACTAGCCAAACCTCGTAGGAAAGCATCCAAGTTCATTCCAATCGTGGTCGAGCCTCTCAAAATCGTCAAAGTAAAACCTCTCAAACTAGATAGTGAACTAGTTTACTATGCTGATCAGCAATCCAGGCCCCCTTTGAGAACTCTTGTCCTCAACAAAAGACTCTATGGCAAGCAAAATGGCAGGAAATATAGACAGAGGGTGAGGAAGCTGATAGATAAATCATGGGGTTCCATCTACAATTTCTACAAGAAGAGAGAAAGAGACAAGAAGCTCAGGCAGCTCAGGCGAGAAGCGAAAAAAGTCAAGAAGACCCACGACAATTCGATCATGCTCAAACTAGCCACGCCCAAGAGAGTCTTCTTCCCGGAACCCGAGGAGAAAACCCCCAAGAAAATCTTTTCCGACTTTGACAGACTTGACACTCTAGCGGCTCCGAAGCCCTTCATAGAGCTCCCACCCAAACGGATGGGAGTCAATCCCGCTGCTCTAACCTACGAACCTACCGAAATTGTTCTGAAGTTGGCGCAGCAACCGGACCGATACAAGTTCGTGTGCAAACCTCTGGAGCCTGGAAAAGTGCAGAGAGCTGCTTTGAGGTACAAAATAACCGAGCGGACTGAGGCATTGGCTGTTCCGAAACAGAGGAGTGAGAAGGCGAAGGTAGATGAAGATTGGGACCCTTGGGTTATTCCAAAGAATGCTCTCAAGTATAAGGCTACCACCAGGATATTAGAACTTGCCAAACCTAAAGAACGGGAATAAATAGTTCTCAGTAAAAGCAAAAGAGTAAATTGTGATGATAATGTTCAATCTTGCTATGTCGACTCTAGCTGTTCTATAGCCTTTTGTACAGCCTTCACATAGAATGATAAGTCTCGATCGGGCATCTTTAACATACTGACGTCCCCAACAGAATACTCCATGGCTAACAAAATGGCAGGTAATACAGACAGAGAGTTAGGAAGAAAACATGGGGTTCCATCTACCATTTGTACATAGAAAAAAGAAAGGACAAGAGGTGCAGGTATCTCAGGCAAGAAACAGAGGAAATCAAGAAGACCCACGACACTGGTATAAAACTTGCCACGCCCAAGAGAGTCTTCTTCTTGGAACCTAAGGAGAAGACCCCCAAAAATTGACAGACTCGACACTCTAGCTGCTCCGAAGCCCTTCATAGAGCTTCCACCCGAATGAGTGGTAGTCAATCCCGCTGCTCTGACGAATCTACTGAAATTGTTCTGAAGTTGGCGCAGCAACTGGGCGGATACAAGTTTGTGTGAGAACCTCTGGAGCCTGGCAGAGTGCAAAGAGCTGCTATGACGTTCAAAATAACAGAGGAGCGAGAAGGCGAAGGTTGTTGAGGATTGGAACGCTTGGGTTATTCCGAAGAACCCTCTCAGGTGAAAGGCTATGACTATAGGATATTGGAACTTGCCAAACCGAAAGAACAAGAATGAACAGTCCTATATGGGAGCCAAGAAGTAAATTGAGACGATCTATGACTATGATATGCCTACTATTATAGCTGCTTTGTAGCCTTCTATGAAGCACCCACAAGGGATGAAGAAATTCCGCATCTTTGACATCTGAACCCTCGTGAAGTGTTCTGAGATCCACTACAATTGGAATTATGAAGTGTATGATGCATCTAACAAAAGAAACGAAGAAGCTAAGCCGACGAAGATCCTGACTTTGGAGTTATATCGTAGAATATGTTGGAGTATGAGGCTATGACTGAGATATGGAAGCTTGAGGAACCAAAGGATGAAGTAAATGAATAATAGCATAGTATAAATAGTACTAGAGAAGAATCATGAGATCGCTAACTTGACCAAGAGAGTATTGCTATTCAGACAGGCTCTGAAATTTCTTGCAGAGCCCAAACAAGTGATGATGGGAGTCAATAAGCTTTGGTTCACGAAGAAACAGAAACCTCCTCCTAAAATTGAATCAGCGAATGCAATTATAGCTTGAAATTAATGATGCTTGATGAATGGACTATTCGAATATGGTTCAATCAATAATGTCGTTGCTTTTTCCTAGGTACTTACTCTCTAATTCCTTCGAGCTGTATAATGAATGGAATAAAGTTGGATAGTGATTGAAATTTAGAATTCAATTAGAGCATGCAAACTGAAAAAAATGTGAAACTTCTCATAACATTCCGAAATAGTTGAGATGTTTCTTCGACTGATGTGGAGGCAAAATCCATTCTGAATATATTGGAATATTGGAATTTATATCTACCTGGAATCTCTACTGCATTCTCCTGATCTAGTTGCATTTTTCGAATCATTTGGTGATTTCACAGAGAAGCAGATATGTTTGGAACGTAAATTTCGAAAAGGAATTACCTATATATAAAGTAAGATATAGCATTATTTGCATTACATCTTTGTGGGAGAAAATCAGTTGGTCAAGACAAACCAGTTTCAGTTTGTTCGTCCAACTCTTGGCAATATCATTTTCGTCGCTTCTATGCTAACCATATCTGTTGAAGAATGATAATAGTTTTGACGACAACTTTTCAATCTCAAACAGATCTATATATTGATAGATGTTATTCACCTAACAAGTGCGAAAAGTAGTAATTTCCCACACGAACTTCCATCGATTTGCCGTGCGGAAAAGTTGAAATCGTGCGGAAAAGGTGAAATCCTGCGGAAAAGTAAAATAGTACGGAAAAGTGTGAATTTCTGAACGAAAAATCGTGCAGAGAAGTAACATTTTCGCACGCTCGTAGGAAATAGTTTTTTCCTAACAAGTGCGGAAAGTGATAATATCCCGCACGCGAATGCCGTTGACCCGAACGACGTGGAGCGGAGTTCGGGCAAGCAGTCGAGTGTGGGAAAGACACTTTCCGAGTGAGTTAAGACCAATATTTTATCTACAAGTGTAGGAAATCGATTAATTTAGGAACAACTAACAATAGTCATCTATTCTGTATTTTTTGATAATTAGTGATATATTATCTATTGTGTATACCGTTCGAAACATTATGTAGGTAAGCTTATTGCGGAAGCCAGCATGCCCATGGTGTTTGGCCTCTAGGTTTCAGACATATCTAGGAAATGGGCCAAAAATACTTCTTCTTAATTTCGTGTTTCAAATTTTCTACTATTGCACCATTCAATATATCCGGTATAGTGCTTCTCATACCTTTCTCATGACTTCGTCTTGGCAATAACTCATATGTATCGCGGAAAGTACAATGTCAAACAGACTGCGAGCTACTACAATCCGACTTGAATACAGTGTAGTAATGGACAATTGGGAATCGTTTATCATTCAACATAAAAAAGTGTTTCTTTATACCATTCACGAAAAAAAAACTGATAATCACATTTGGCTATAACCTGAATAATGAAAACCTGTCAAAACAAGAAAAGATCATAGATCTGGGAGTTTTCTTAGATGATAAATCAAGTTTTAATCATCATATAAATTATACAGCTAATAAAGATTTCAAATTGATAGGATTTGTAATTCGGAACACTCGAAATTTCACAAATAAAAGACTATTGATTTACTTTTTCTACTCACATAACTAAAATGGCATTTAGCGTACGGATATGTACCACGCTAAATGATCGATTGATCACGGATTGTCGATCTGTGATTTATTCAAAATATAAAACACGTTACCATGGCAACACGATTCCTTAAACACATTACCATGGCAACGCAGTTCATTAAACACAGCTCCAGTAATTTTAGACATGTCTGGCCTGTCAATTGTATTAACTGTCAACTGTTATTTTACTTATTTTTGAATTTTGTATCAGAATTATTCAAACTCAATATTCGTTTATATCAGAATTCTTCATTAAAAATAAATGCGAAAAGTAGACGAAAGAAAAATCGAAGAGAATGTTCTGGTACTCGCATATCTCCAAGAAGTGTAAACATGAAGCATCCATCTTTGAGAACAATTTATTTATTTTGCGCTAAGCATGACAATGAACGTGAAACAAAGGTTAGTAATAAGTAATGGACTGGACACATCTACAACCAATATCACTTATACGTGTCTCGCTGGTTGCATGCAGTTGCATGTATTATGATCTCAATTCCCATTCCTTTCGAATTATTTTGTAGGTTAGCAGGAATTGCAGGTACGTTAATGTAATTTTTGGTGTTCGTAGAAAAATCATAGTATGTAACGCGTTTATAAACACTTCTAGATACTCGTTTATTAAACACTCGCTCCGCTCTGCTCCGCTCGTGCTTAAACTACTCGTTACTAAAAGGACGTTTATAACACTTGTTACATAATTTACTATTACAATGCTTATGATAGGAGTACATTGGAATATGCTTCTATAAAAAACCCTAGCAAAGTCGACTTTATAATCACAGGTGATGACTCGCTTGTCCCCTATGCTATTGAAGTTTCTTGCTGGGGTTTTTCGATTTCTGACTATGGTTAATAGGAATTTTCCAGTGTTTCCGAAAACGCCTATTGTTATATATTTTCCCAATGTCTGATCTTCATGCCCTCGTTTGGCTACAACACAAGTACCCCATCGAGCCTAAGATTGAATGGATCACCACCAGGCCAACTAAGTTGTTCGATCGCCTGGATTGATGACCGCAGTTCTTTTGAGTTATTGAAATATTTCGCTTTTCAGAAAGTCGGCTGTGACTATCAACTGGATTCTGACGCAGTCGAAGACGTTTGCGGCATCTGCAATGGTGATGGCACGCAGTGCAAGATAATAGAAGATATTTACAGAGATACCGGCGCTCATGGTGAGACAATAATATATAATTCCCCGTCGACCAGTGGCGTACAAAAGAAAATTCATGAAATCGTGATTTCAGAACTGAGAAAGTATTCATGGTTTTTGAAGCTGAAGCTCTCTTGATTCATAACAGGCTAATTGCCTTATAACAGGAGTATTTTATTAAAATGAGCTGAACGCTTATGATCATCTATAATAATAATAGTATATTATTCAACAAGCAGGGCTATTATTCACGAAGGTTAAGTTTATATCACGAGCGTAGCGAGTGACATGATCAACCTGAGTGCATCTAATAGCTCATTATATGCGAGTAGAATACTATACTTTGCCCACGACTACTATTATCTTTCATATAGGAATTTACTTTGAACAACGTTTTCATCATAACTCATATTTGACATTGAGAAAGTGAAAATTGAAGATACCTGTTATATCAATTATTTGTCCATGACTATTGTACTTCCTCAAGCAAAACGGTAGCCAGTTTTCATACCTCAAAATAATAGCGATAAATATCCATTATTCACTGATCAAAGTTCCTTATATGTTATATCGCGTACCCTAGGAACTCTATACAGGGTGTTCCGAAACTATTGTGCCAAAATTCAAGGGTTGGTAGATTTCGCCAAAACAAACGTTTTTCACTTATTAACCCATAGGCGCATGCGCATGCGTTCAGTGATAATAGCGCATTAAGGTCCGCGCAGTGGTATCCCCTCGGCGGACACGGGGAAACGTGTTTGTACCGGAAACCGTGTTAGTAAATAACATTGAATCACAAGCAATATTTGGGAGAGTTTATTAAAAAAAACACCACAATTTAGATTGAGTTAGGTTTTACACATTGCCACGACGCAATAATTAATGAGAAGCCTACGCAATACGAGTGTCTGGAGCGCAGCGATTGGTCTCGATTCTCAAAATCGGTAGAGCTGAGCACTCAATATCGATATTATTTATGTATGTACATACGTCAAAATCGGTAGAGCTGGGCACTCAATATCGATATTATTTGAGTATGCACATATGTTAAACTTTTTTCTTGTAATACCTATTGGTACCGAAATAAGGTGCATGCGCCTATGGGTTGATAAGTAAAAAACGTTTGTTTTGGCGAGATCTACCCACCCTTACATTTTGGCACAATAGTTTCGGAACACCCATCTTTCTCTATAGCTCTATATCTAATATCAATTATTATACAGAAAAACAGAAAAACAGAAAAACAGCCAGGACTGTAACTTTTGACTTATTCGAGTAAGGGTTTTGAAAATTGGTTGGTAGCAAGTATACCTAATTGCTCATCAATTGATGAAACATTTTTTCTTCTATCACTTCCAGTTCCACAGGAAACGATCCCAACAGTTGATTTCCAAAAGGCACACCCTGTATTGAATATCACTATAGGTTTGGGATTATCATGACGAATTCAACGATACCAGGTTTGATAGGGTTATTTCAAACGATTACAAAGATATTCGCTTTCAAAGTTTCCATATGCTCAATGGTTGTGACTCCGCATTATCAAAACTCTTTTGTCTGTCACACTATTGAGCATATGGAAACTTAGAACACGAATATTTGCGTAATCGTTTGAAATAACCCTATCAAACCCGGTATCGATGAATTCGTTATGACAATCCCTAGCCGATTATGGAATTCAATCCAGGGTGTCCCATACAAAAATCCGGAAGTGATGGAACAAAAATAGTGTCGTCAATTGATGAGCAACTGGGTATACTAGCTGCCCACCAATTGTCAGAACCATAGCTCGAATAATTCAAAGGTTACAGTCCTGGCTGTTTTATGTGCATTTCTCTGTATATAATAATAGAAAAAATAAATATACAAAAATGAGAAAAAAGCATGAATGAGAAGAATGAAATGAGATAAAAAAAACTTGTGAAATGAATTATTATGTAATTCGATTATTTTGATCGATTTGTATTTTCATTCAACAATCCTTTCAACATGTTACATTTCGTGAGGCTTTTCTTCAGTTCAACCAATACACTTTATATTCATATCTCTTATTATAGAAAATGTTCTTTCAATAAATCTATTTATCATTATTATTATCATAATTATTTTCAGCATAGCCCCTGCTACCACTGTGTATCTGCTGAGCTATGAAGAATAAAATAGAATCTTTGACTGGGCAATACACAATATGCACGTTAGACCTCCTTCCATAACATAACCAAATATGTAAAAAATGTTACTTGACCCCTTTTTCCACTTGCTCCATCCGAAGCAAGTTTGTACGCTTCTCCATCTGTTTCTACTTGGAATGTTCTGGGACCCATAGAAGGCTAGACTGAACATATTTTCCTCTAGAATTTCCTACATGGCAAAGCACCATGTTTGATTCTTTTTTTTACCTTTACTTACCTGTCTCTGAGAGGAAACGCTTACATGAGCTCGAAACATATCCTCAGATAATGAAAGTTGTGGAGATCATCGTTACATTCTTATACAGTGGCGCTACTGATGTGAATCTCTCAATTCATCGAAATCGTGCAAATATTCACAATGTCGGCTTCTTCTGATCATACAGATTACAAGAAAGTGGCCACCATCCCTCAGGGCAGCAGGAATGTGCGGGTCGAAGAACTGGCGCCATCTATGAATACGATCGCCATCAGTGACCGATCGGAGAAGGTGTTCTACTTGAACGGTGACCAGTAAGTGATCTACCTTGATTTTTTTTTTCGTTCTCTCTTGATCCTTCATTAGAATATTTCATTGTAGGAGACTCGACAATAATATTGAGGCAATTCCATTGTTCATTGTTTATTAATAAAATAGATTTCAGTCATAAATAAAATTCTGGTATGAAGGATAATAAAATGGAATAACATGAGGTGACAACAACAAAATCAAAAAAAAAATCTGAAAAAGCTAAATTGATCAAGTCATAAAAATATCCACAGCGATTAATCAGTAGATGGCAAAGTATCAATTTTAAAAATTTCCTAATGAAATCACGTGTTATATTAATGCAATTTCAAATTTCGAAATATGTCTGCATTTTTTCATATCATGTGGTAATCAATTAAATTGAAGCTAGAGCAGCGTGAATGAATTTTTTTTGATCAATTATAGAAGTATTATATGAAACTTTCAGAGTATATATTTCGTACAATTCATCCAATGAACAGTTTTCTGTTATATACATATAAACTGGGCGTCAATTGAAACGTTAATAGTGAAATTTGGCATCAAGTTTGACTTCTCGTAATTTCTAAAATATTGGACGAATTTTGAATTGCCGCCCAGATTATGAATGCCTCTTTCTTCGTCTTTCGAATCGTTCCTTACAGCTTCTTCTAAATTAATCAGGGCCCGTGATACAGGGTGAAACAAAGTTTCGTGCATTTTGAAAGAAAATTCTCCGCCTCCCCATTTCGTCGGAAGACCACGATGCTCATATTTTATTAGAGCATTTCATGAATAGCAACCATACCTCGGGACGTTTTCGAGTTTTTGCCAAAAACTACTGTGGTTTCCGAAAAAAAAATTTTCTTATCTCAAAGGAGTTCCTTAAATGGATGCTGTTATGCATTTCAGGAAAGCGTTGGAGCAGATATGTATACCAGGCTACTCAAAAACAATATAATTCATTACTTCGCAGGCTATGATAAAAGTTCTCTACCTCAGTGGGCAGTGAATCAACACATCTCATTAACAAAAACAAACAACGATACCTTGTTTATATAACAACGTTGAACGTATTGTTGAAACAATGTAGGTATGCATAGAGGTTATATCAATTGTCATGCAATTTTCATGAAAACGTCAGTGTAATTCGGCTCCTAAGAAATTTAAAGATGTCTCGTTCAAATCGGGTAAAAATGGAAAATATCATTAGGCAAGATCACTATAGTGTTATTAACTATAATTCAGTACATATAATTATTATTTCAGGTCACGACGATTAGGATATACCCTAACTCATTTAAGTACCATTTTCAATAAGTCAGTCATGACAATAAGTAGACTGATCCATCGTTTTGAGTATACAGGTAATCAGTCAATTTGAAAAAAATGCTAACATTTTTTTTTCTGAAACCACAGTAGTTTTTGGAAAACACTCGAAAATATCCCGAGGTATGGTTGCTATTCATGAAATGCCTGAATAAAATATAAGCACCGTGGTCTTCCGACAAGTGGGCGCACAATGGGCCCGACTGAAGAGGCCTGAGTGCAGGGGTCTACGCATCCGCCCACCTGTGCAGAGAAGAAGAAGAAGAAGAAGAAGAAGAATGGGGGGCGGAGAAATTTTTTTCAAAATGCACGAAACTTTGTTTCACCCTGTATCACGGGTCCTGATCAATTTAGGAGTAGCTGTAAGGAACGGTTCGAAAGACGATGAAAAGGGCATTCAGAATCTGGGCGGCAATTCGAAATTCGTTCAATATTTTAGAAATTACGAGAAGTCAAACTTGATGCCAAATTTTCCTATTAACGTTTCAATTGACGCCCAGTATACATACAACTCATTTATTGAGATATCAAATGAGAGGTGATACAATAATACTTTCAGAGATTTCTTGTAAAGTGCAGATTGGAGATGTAGTTTTAACGAGAATATTCCCAAAACTTTTGAATACTTTTTGGTGGTGCGTTTATCTCTTGGAGAAGTATATAAGTTACCTATAAGTATCGTGAATTTTGTCAGAAAACTCAAACTAGTGGTGTTACCAAGCAATTGGATTTCGTTGATTTCTGACAGAATTACTCTCGATAGTACTGCAAGCTCTCATGGTATTACCCCCAATTAGTCTTACTTTTATACAGGGGTATCTCACATACAATTATCAAATCAAATAACCTCAAGTTTCTGTATTTGAAAAGTTATTGAGTTTCAGAATATTTTCGAAAAATTATGTGTGAGAACTGTGGAATTAACAAGAACGAAAAAAAACCACATAGCCTGCTTCAATGTTAATTCACAGCTGGAAGTAGAGTCAGGTTCTGACTTCAATTCACTGATTTGTTATTGGTAGTGCATTGGTTTTGAAATTCTTGAAAAAAAATTATTCTTACGCCTGTCGTATATACAGACAAGTGCACAAAGATCGGCCTGGATTGTAACTTTTGAACTATTCTAGATAAGAATTTGAAAATTGGTGGGTAGCAAGTACACCAAATTGTTCATTAATGTTCATTAATTGATGAATTATTTTTTCTTCAATCACTTCCAGCTTCACCAGAAACGACCCCAACTTTTGATCTTTGAATCGGACACCCTGTGTTGTATTCCATAATCGGTTAGGGCTTATCATGACCAATACGACGATTACAATAATATTTGCGTTCGCAGTTTCCATATCTCAATGGGTGTGACTTCGCAATATCAGAACTTCTTTTCCTGTCACACTCATTGAATATATAGAAACTTAGAACTTGAATATCTGCGTAGTCGTTCGACATAACAAACCCGGTATCGTTATGACAATCCCTAACCGATTATGGAATACAATACATGGTGTCCTATTTGAAACTCGAACGTTGAGGTCGATTCTAGTCAAACCAGAAATGATGAATCAAAAATTGTTTCATTAATCATTGAGCAATTCGGTATACTAGCAGCCCACCAATTTTCAAGACCCTATCTCGAATAAATCCAAAGTTATAGTTTCTGGTGCATTTTTCTGTATGAAACTCAATTTCTAAGCATGAACCTACGCCAAACTTCAAAATGAGATTTAGGTTTAGAGAGGTAGTATCAAGAATAATTGTATAGGCTCTGATATGTACTTCTTTCACAGTCAATAATAATCGTTTCAATTAAAGAAGTGATAACTACGAAATAGCCACAATGCTCACAGTGGAATGAAATAGTAAATAAATGTGAAATGATCACAGTCATTTCCACCCAGTGTTCATAAAAAAATGAACAACAATGGTAGATTTCGGGAGAAAAACAACTACTTCCCTGGCTAATGCCACGCAGGATATTGAATTACATCCTCTAGAAATCTATGCATCGACTCGTTTAAACGAATACTGATACAAGTGATTCTTTCCTGAATGCCTATTGATTTCGATTAAGCCAGGCCGCTAGACAACCACAGACCGGTTTCGAGCTCTTTGACTCCATCAGTGCAGTGTAGTCTCCAGCCAGCAGTCCTAAGACCGCCGACTGAGCGAAGCCTAGCCAAACAAAAATCAAGTTGGCATTATATCCATCCCGAGGCGTCTTTCATCGATAAAATGAAAGTAACGCCATCTGAGTAGAACCGAGGAAAGAATCACTCCAAAACTGGCCTGGCTTAATCGAAATCAATAGGCATTCAGGAAAGAATCACTTGTATCAGTATTCGTTTAAACGAGTCGATGCATAGATTTCGGGAGGATGTATTTCAATATCCTGCGTGGCATTAGCCAGGGAAGTAGTTGTTTTTCTCCCGAAATCTACCATTGTTGTTCATTTTTTTATGAACACTGGGTGGAAATGACTGTGAGCTTTTCACATTTATTTAAAGAAGTGATAGTTTTTCAACCAGCCTCACTCATGATGAATTGATAAAGAAGGTATATATAACTATTTTCTTTCATTCGAGGTAAATTCGAGCGAAATAACTTTCATGAAATGAACTTTTATCAATGTTTGTCTATTGCAGTCAAGAAAATCGAGACGGTGACGTAAAATTTGGCAAAGTGGAAGGCGTTTACAGTCACCCAGAGCCTGGAAAAGAAGCATTGGTCATTCATGGACCAACTAGTGAAGATCTCATACTATTCGTAAGTTTGTAAGACACATATTAAGTCATCCACTTCGAATTATCATCTGATGAATCAAACTATTTCTCAAACCCACATCCAATGATCTCAGTGACAGATCATACTCAAAGTGGGTACTTAGGTAACTGTTCGATCATTTGGATTTCAGTTTTTATATAAAAAAATCGTATCGCCTGCAGAGATAGTAGGTATAATCTCTTTTTGTTTCAATTCTGGTGGTATTTTGAATGAACAATGACTATAAGATTAGTCCCGAAACAGATCTTTTGAGAAACACCTTCAGACATCGGTAGTCCATGAGACTCTGAGTTGGTAGATTTTGTATTGATTGCTTCATCTTGATGATACGGATCTAAAACGTTTCTTACAATGCCTCTGAATACCATTGATTCTAAATTTTCCGAAAGAGTTATGTGGTCAACTATATCAAAGGCCTTCTTGAGATCAATGAAAATTGTTATCAGATGATTTCTGTGTTAAGTCCTTCTTGAATTGATTGTTCAACTTCTGATATTCTGATTTGAAGTTTGTGTGTCAATATATTGTTTAATACCAAACTGATTTATGTCCGAGCTACATTTTTTATTTATGCATTGATCGAACATGGTGTGAAAATCGCCACTGACCTCTGATGACATATAATATTGATTATGCATTTTTGAGTCTGCTTGGTGGTCCCTCCGATGTCATGTCCATTCAATCGTCTATTCAGCAGCGCTATCCCTCAGTACGCATCTCCATCAAAATGGAATGAGTTACTCGTATTTGTATCAAAAATTATTTAGTTTGTGTCGTCGAGATGTAAGCAAACCAAGAAAAGTTTGATAGCAATGAGAAGGATGTCGGCGAGGTTAGCTTCACTTTGTTGAGTAACATATATGCATGCATTATTTGTCACCCAACAAAACTCTTAATAGTAAATCATTGGAAAATTTTCTGAATGACGAAGCTCACCAAATTTGCACGTAACTGCGACGTGATTTTCCGACGTCATAGATACGTCACTGCAACGTCATAGAAGTGACGGTTCCAATATAGGTACACCTATATCATTTGTATATATACATATATAGCTGGAATGGTTTCCAAGATATATTATAGGGCGACAAAGTTTGTCGAAAGAATCCAGATATGTTGAAATATATGGGGTGTTTCATTTGAAAAAATTGATGTTCGATTTTGTGAACCTTTCTTGCGGCCCTCGTATAAAATTTAGTCATTCCTAAATTTAGCACTTATGATGCGATATGATGTGGAATTAAAGTATTTTGAAAATTCCTATTGGTTCAGGAGATATTCAACTGTCCCACTGGTATAGGGACACACTGTATATAACATTACCAAGACGTACATGTTCCTATATATGGTATGTGTCTAAAAATTATTAAAAAACGATTTTTTATGAAAATTTTCGACACTGAAAATGTCCATCCTGATTCTGTATATATAGGTGTGTCACGAACCTAACGGTTTCACATGATGATGTTAGTATACATGGTTCAGATATGGTCTGGGAAACATGGACGTCGACAGGATGTTCCTGCAACGTGATTATCACGTCATAGAAAGTACGTCATAGAGACGTCATGATTGGTGTGTTACGTCTCTGACAAAAAATCACCAATTAGGGAGGTCGCAGTGATGTGATCATCCGTCATCTGGTTGCCTGGGTGGTAGAACATGTGTTGATCGATTTTGAGAATTCAAGTTCGGCCAGAATAGATTTCGATTCGAATATACCATTTGTTGTTGTTGTTCTTTATTACCCCAAGAAACATATTTGTTTATAATAGGGATACATAAACATATGATATCTATATATAACATATAAAACAATAATAAAAAAAAACTAATTAACAAGTTATGTCAATATAACATAATGATTAAAATAAAACCATTCCAAGTATTCAAATGAGAATAAATTGCTCCGTTTATTGTGTCATGAGTATATATTTTTTCATATTGACTTTGAATCTTGTTTCATCATCAATATGTTTCAAATCATAAGGTAATGAATTATATAAAATGATTCCGTTGTAGAATACTGATTGTTTGCCAATGATGGAGTTATATGGGTTTGCTATCAATGAATTCAACTGTCTCGTTGCATGAGTATGAATTGTATTTACTTCAGGTAAAGTTCAAGTTGGATATTTTTATTTTTTTCCTCACAAAATGGATGAAAGAACAAATTTTCATTTTATATAAATATGATAAATTCAACAGATTTTTTGGTTTGTAAAGATTAATAGTTGGTTCCAGGTAATGTAAATTGTAAATGCACTTAATTGTTTTATTTTGTAATTTCATTAATGGTTTCAAATGTGATATACTTGTGCTTCCCCAAATTGATATTAAATATTGTAATTTTGAGTAAATCAGACAGAAATATATATTCTTCAAATATCTAAGAGGAATGAAATTTCGAATTTTGTATAAAATGCCAGTAATTGGATTGAGCTTTTTTCTCAGTTGGAAGACCTCTAGGATTAGGGCATGTTTTCTTGAAAGAGAATTGTACTACCTAGAATGTACTTTTTATGATAATTAGCGATAATCCAAGCCCGATTCAATGGTTCATATTTCCATACTGTTGCAAAAACACTCTGTATATACAAAACCCCATTCGAAAATTATCGAATAATTCACTGATTTATAAGCAGACCATGTACCTAACTTGAAGATCCCCATATTTACAGCAAGACGAAACAGCTAATCCGCTTAATACGTTACTTTATGATCTTTCTTGCATGAAACTTCCCACGAATAATTAACCAGATAATATCTTTATGCAAACGATATACCATACCTCTAAGTCGCCCCCAAAACTGTGTGCGTGTGTATTCTATGGCCGATTAAACCAAGCAGTCCCACGTTGACAGAAATATTATTATCTGATGGAGGATAACGTCAAGTAGAAAGTAGTTTGACAAATTGGATAAAAGAAGGCGGTACTTATACTGTGTGACACAGATCCATTTATTTATTTATTTATTTATTTATTTATTGAAAATGTTACTTCCAGTCAGAATCAAGTTCTGGTATAAGGAAGTATAGTTAACAATAATACCTAAAACTATACAATTATAATAAACTGATGAATAATAAAATATTTGAAAACATTAATTATTAAATTTTGACAAATCATTTCATATTGCTGAGCAAAAATCAATTTGAATATGAATCAAAAGTAAGTCATCTTTTTCGTTCAGAAATGATAAATTTTTTAAGATGGTATTTGAATTTTATTGTATTTCTGCAATTTTTTATATTATCTGGTAATTTGTTATATTCCAAGAGAGCAGCGTGGGTGAATCTTTTTTGGCCTATAGAAGTATTAGCGATATCAAGATGAAATAAACCATGTTGTCTAGTTTGATAATTATGAATTTCATTGTTTCGTGTTAAAATAAAATTAGATTTCAATCTTTTATTTATGATATTGTATGTAATTTTTAGTCTTTCTATTTTGAACATTTCTTCTAATGAGAATGATTCAGTTATTTTATATAATTGATTTGTTGGTGTATCATATGGTAAACGATACAGTACTTTCAATGTCTTTTTATATAATGCAGATATTTTATTAAAATTGTTTTTTGAACAGTATCCCCAAACATTTATCAAATAGTTAATACGACTGAGTATATGAGAATATAGAATTATATTTGCAACTTTTTTATTCAGCTTGGGACATCTTCTCAGGGCTCCAATAATAGGACATATTTTTTTCTTCAAAACATTTATATGTTTGTCCCACTTCAATTTATCCACACTGAGAGAAACTGGATATTAAAAATATCTACCAGCTCTGATTGTAATAACCATTATAAGGAAATCTCCTATTCCTGATCATTTTATTATTACAACAGTATTCTCTCCATTCTGTAATTATAAAAATCGATTTCTTAAATCAATTGTAATACCCTTGAATGGACATATGCTACCATCATAACGCAGGTGTGTTATGACATTATGAGAATTTTATAAATTCCAGTCTATTTAGATTTTTTATTGACATAGCTCGTTTTGTGAATTATGCTCATTGGTGAATTCAGATAATGTTTGTCCCAATAATCATAGCTGTTTGGGTTTCTAGCATTGTACGTTGACGAATAACTCTAGCAATTCACATGTATGACGGTTATTAGGCAATCATTCGACAATCGTAATTCGGCTCATTTCGCTCTAGTGTTTCATTAGTATTGGGGCTGACAAAGATACAGATCGCGTTCATTTCACTGCTGTTCTCGGTCATGGATGCCCGTGTTCAATTATTGTTAGGTGAATGTCTGTGATGTAGCAAAGTTTTGTTTTAGTGCTGGCTGTGAACCGACTTGTGGAACTCACCGTGCATTGCATTATTGCAATGAAAAAAGGTATTCTCTATACCCACTTTTCACGGCCTAAAATTGGTTTATTTCAAAAACGAAATGATCGATGAGATTCTGAATCAAAATATCTGGGTTTCTGTGAGGAAAGTTTTATTGACAATTCTCATCATAACTCCGAAGGAAGGGTGAATATATGAGTATTCAACTTCTCATTTCTTAATTAATTCGTCAGTATGCATATAGTTGATATTTCTCCGAAAAAATCAATGAGTAATGTCAAAAAACTTCCACAGATACCCAAATATTTCAATTCAGAGACTAAACGTATTTTTTTGCTTTTTTGAAAACAATAACTTTGGATCATGAAAAGTGAGTGTGGATAGGATATTTACTTTAATTGCAGTAATTCAAAGCACGGTTTCATAATGCATACCATCGAATAATGTTAATTAGATAACCTCATTACCGCTGTTTGATGAATATACTGGAGTAGAAAAATATTGGGATAGCTGTTGAAAATGAGCTATATTACAATAGCATGTCAAAATGTCAGGTTTCATGCAGATATCAGATAACTATAATAAAATGAGACGTATTACTGCGTTACCTCAAGATGGTTGTGCCAGTAATGAAAACATGCTGTTTTATGTCGATAGTCTAATAACCACTGTAGAGTGAAGAGTTACTGCAACATTTCATTGGAATAATTCCTATTCGACATTCTGTGTTATCATAGAAACTAGAAAAAGTAGTATTTATTCAGCAGCGGTGTTTTTATACAAGTTTGCATATTGAATAAGCTGCCATAACTATAAGTCACCTGAAAATTCACTTCATCTATGGTAGGAAATGAACACATCTGTCCCCTATTTATTGCAGATATCGTAATAACGGTCATCAGATTTCCAATTATGATAACTAAAGTTTTCTCTCAGTGCATGGTACCTACATCTTTCTGGAATTATAGTCTAATCAAATGGTACTTTCACTTGGAAAGAATGCAAGTAGTCGGTTTCTTTTTGGACATCATAATTATGTTTTTGGAGGTGCTGGATTCGAATCTGGAATTTTCAAACAAAATTTCCTGGACCGTTCCGATATACTCGACTTTTTTCGGTTTTCTGCCCGTAACTCGGAAATCATACCTTATATCGAGAAGAGCGCCCCATAGAAAGTTGAAGTGGATGAAATTTCCTGAATATATTTGTCATTGCTCATAAATGTAGGACTAAGAAGTTCGGAGATGAGGACAGTTGAAAATTGACCAAATTTCCTCGAAGAAACAAACTATACTGACTTATGTGGAAAAGTCCTAGCCATGTGAATTCCCACCTCTGTCAGCATATAACTCATGACTCTCGACTTGTCACTGTACTTGAGTATATTAACATCAACTAGGAAGAATATTGTTTTTCTTATCCCACTGAGCAAGGAACATCCCGGGGATGTTTGGTAACGTTAGTTCCTTGTACGTTTGGTGACCTTTTTGATATTACATCTTTTATAAGTGATAATAACATATTTCTGGGACCTTTTGATTCGTTCCTTATTTGGGCTGACTCTGCTACATCCCCAGATACACGTCGCTGTTTCGTAACAGTAAACTGACCTATGCACGTGTATGTAATCTTATTTGAGTCAATATTCCAACGCCTCCTCCAAAGTATTCTTATTTCATCCACAGAAAATTTTAGAAATAGATTCGCCCATAGAATCATAAAACTGATCTAACTGAAGTGACATACGTGGAAGGATAATTAGTCAATCAAATATCCATTCATTTTCAATTGTAGTTCTACCTTACATACATTGATTGAATACATTTCTGAATTTATTTTTTTCCTCTGACAAGTAGGTATTTAGCAATGGAGGTGACTATAGTGAATATCAGGGTGATCCAACATAAATGTTCTCTCTTGTAAATTAGGTCATTTCTGGACCGATCGCAGAATTCAAAAACTATTTGGTATATTTTTTAGCCAGAAAATATATAGTGAGTGTTTCAAAATATATGTGACGCACATCAAGATGTGATAGGGCAGCTCAAAACAATAATAAATGATTCTTCAAAGAATTGACCAGAACTCTTTTGTTTCCAAGTTGTTGAAAATACCTACCATTTTTTATTTCTTTCGATACATTTGAGATGATTGAACCAAGTTTGTTTCATTATACCTATTTATCGTTTTCTGTAGTGGGAGAAAATCTAGCTATGTGATTATACCAGTAATAGTTTTCAGAATTCACGAATATTGGTCTAGAAATAACCAAGTTACAAGGGTGGACATTTTTGAAGTATCACCCTGTCTATTTCGAAAGATCCTGGTAATGTTACAAGAGAGACAACAATAATGAAACAGGAATGTTATGAAATCGTCCAGGGATATGTACTTTTTACATTCCGAAATGAAGACATGGTACGTAAGAGTTTTATCGCAAATACTATTTGAGAATGTACTTTCACTGTAACAAAGCTGTTTCATGACACGTATCAGTTTCGACTCTTACTCAACGTACTTGCGACGTCCTGCGATATTGTACTGTTGGTGGACATATAACGACTCTAAGATAATCTTTGAGATGTCAATAGCACCAAATTCACAACGTACCGACGTATCTTGGTTACAATGAAATAACGTTAATAGTATGAGTTCTTGCACAGTATGTACCTGCCTCTTGTTATTCGTTAACGGAGTAGAAAAATCAAGTTTCCTAGCAGAAAATATCAGAAATGTCACGACATTTGAAGGAAATATAGTTAGAAGAGTTTCCTTCATTGTCGGCTATCTTCGCATTTACCATCGTATAGAGGATGGGAATACGCTGGAGAAAACACGATTTGGTCCGTCCACCTGCACCACCATCTCCAGAACCGGGTCCTTCAGGGCACCAGCCCCCTGACAAACGACATTGTAGTGACGATTAGAGAAAAACACTACATTGTTTATTTAATTAGAAGTCATAAAACAAAATGTGTGTTTTTTTTTTCGAGAGATGCCGTATCCACCTATGGTACAGAATGCTCAGAATTGCGATATTTTTACTAAAATGCCTAGTCACTGACCATGTTTTCAAGAAAATCTGAAATAAAAAATAATAACAGACGCTTTTATTTAGTTATTTTTGCTTATGACTCTCTACTTGCATAAAATCTGAAAAAATGATTGTTCATTCCAAGTTCATTATATTATTCGCCATGTCTCTAAAAAATAAAATGAACCCAGGCCAATTCAATATACAGTGTGTTCCACTTACCATGCTCACCATGGGTATCTTTTTAACGGTGAGAGATACGAGGTCGGTTAAATGACACCAAATGTGGAGTTTGTCAAGGCTAACTATAATGTGAAAAAATATTTCGATAATATCTATTCGGATTTGTTTTATACGCAAAAAACATATTTTGATCATTCTCGTGTCTTTTCCGTAACCTCTTTATTTATGAAAATATTCAAATAGGAATTTCACATTATCATGACAGTTTTTCATATTGATTTGTCGCAGTAATAGTTTTGTGTTGATAACAACGGAGTTATCGTCAGTTATATAAAAACAAAAATTTTTTGGAAGCCGTTATCTTGAATTTATAAATTTTTACAGAAAAATCATGATCTCCGACCTTAAAAACCCCCACTTACCAATTTTGAATGGAATCGGACCAAATCTTGTCCGCCATCTTGGAGCAGCCATTTTTTTCTATTTCAACAAATATTCCATGAATTTTTTCCCATTTCTGGTCGTCCGATTAACTTGAATTTTGGCAGGTGTTCATAATTTCGGTGACAATGCATAATGGAATTTTTGTTTAAATTGAAAAAAATGCTGCTTCAAGATGGCGGACAAGATTTGGTACGATTCCATTCAAAATTGGTAAGTGAGGGTTTTTGAGGTCGGAGATCATGATTTTTCTTTAAAAATTCATAATTTCAAGATGGCGGCTTCCGAATAAATTTTTGTTTTTGTATAAATGACGATAACTCCGGTGGTATCAACAAAAAACTATTACTGCGACATATCATCTGTAAGAGAAAAAAAGTTATTTGTAACTAAGTCATAGTGAGCTATGACCTACATTTGCAAAACTAAAGTTGGTGCTGATATCTCGAATTGTAGAAGAGTTGGTATAAATTTCATATTTTTTTCGAAATCACTATAAAAAACTGCCATGAGAATGTGAAATTGAATATTTTCCTAAATAAAGAAGTTACGGAGGAGACATGAAAATGATCAAAATCTGTTTTTTGCGTATAAAACAAAAACAAATAGATTTTATCAAAATATTTTTTCACATTATAGTTGGCCTTGACAAACTCCACATTTGGTGTCATTTAACCGACCTCGTATCTCTCACCGTTAAAAAGATACCCATGGTGAGCATGGTAATAAGTGGGACACACTGTATAGAATGGGTGTGGAAGTGTACACTTTGAGGAAAGGTTTGGAACTACGTTTTTTGCAAATATCTTCACATCAATTCAGGAAACACTGAAAACTGAGAAGTGTCAAGAGAAATTCGAATCTGCCATCTTTCTATACCTGTTGAAGAAGCTCAATCTCATTTTTCACTCACAGGTAGTCTTCTACAGATCGGAGAACGTTGGTTACGTGTACAAATACGCCGAGCCAACTTCGGATTTGAATTACGCGCCTCACTATCACTGGGAGCTCCTGGACTGGACAGAGTGTTCGGCGAAATGTGGTGGAGGAGTGCAAACGTCCAAATTCGACTGTGTGGAACAGAAATCCGGGAGAGTGAGTGCCACGTTTTGTGTGGGCGAAGATAAACCAGAGCTGTCTACGAAAAAATGTAACGAGAAGCCCTGTAAAACAAAGTGAGACCATTATTTTTACTTCGATTCTAGTTTATTGCTGCATCGTTATGTAAACAGTGCATCCCATTTTGGTTACCAAGTTTCTTGGTTGTTATTAATGGCTTGGAGTATCTACGTTCCAGCACAACTTTTTTTGTGGATCTCAAGAAGGCCTAATCAGATTTTGCACAGCTGTTTCAATAAAACACTTTTGTATAAAAATGATAATGGGCGTGTACACCTTAGTAAAATTTTTGACTCAAACCATGTTTATAATGATCCTTCTATACATAAATAATGATTGACGACATAATTCGATCGAAAAATTAACTGGAAAGTTTCATTTTTGGACATAAATAATAGTACCTTCTGAGAACGGACCCTCTTATGACGTAGAAACCTCATCTCGCCATAGTCAAAAGAAAATACCAAAAGCCCGACGGAGACTGAGGCAACTGATATATTAATTCTTTCAACTGTGGTCTCGCGCTAATTCACTCTGTCAGAGATCATGTATCATTCATCTCTGTCTGGAATAGTCTTGTTTAAGTATAAGGGTTTTGACGTCACATCATCGCATCGTTATCAGAGGTCCGAAAAATCATGGATTTCAATAGTTATTTATTATACAAGGGAAAAAAGTAGTAGATTTTAGCTCCAGGTTGTGTTGTCTCCCGACGCGTAGCGGAGGGAGACAAAAAACCGTGAGCTAAAATCTAATATTTTTCCCGTGTATAATACACTATTTTTTTCTGTGACAGAAGGAAGGACGAATCAATATTGAGAAGATATTACATTATTTCGAAATCTGAAAATTATCGACGTGAAATTTCAAGTTTTTAACAGTAGGGACACCTGCGTTTCATAGGCATCTTTATCATTCTTTTGAAGTAATCAAATATCTGATGTCACTTCTGTCAGTTCAATTCTGTAATTTGATTTTAAAAAATTGCGAATTCAGTAGTTGTTTAGTAATATACGAAACCGCGAAGTCGAATGAAAGATAAAAGGACTTGCAGTTCTTTCTCGGAGACGGTATTATTGACTCATTTTTCGGAACTATAGCACAACAAAAGCCATTAACACAGTATATAATATGTGATATATATCCGGGAAAGAAGTACTCACTTTTTTCCCACGGGAAAAAAGTAATTTATGAAAAGTGACATTTTATAACCTGCCAACAAAGATGAAATGCCAAACTTTTTTCCCGTCACAGAAAAATAATTATTTATTAAACGTAGGGAGCTCACAGCAAGAAACGGTTTGCGGTGGTGAGCTAGTTTGGGTGAGTTCTATCGAATTATGAAATAATTTTTTTTTGGTGATATAAGCCCATTACGAGTGTGGCAATTTCCATCATATTCTGTAAATGTTATATTCTTTTGCTTGTGAATTCTACCTATATTTATGTGTGTAAGTAGTATGTTATGTTAGTATGTAATTATCTATCTGAATCTGACGTTGCTAATATTTTGTCAGAAAACCGATGGCGATAATGTGAATGTGAATTATTTATATTGGATTGGAGCGTATAGTGAGCAGTTCCTTCACGCGTGAAACCTTTCAGGCCTGTTTGCAACCGGGACACTCTCTTTGGAAAAGAGGTTGCTGGAGGTGTCTTTTCTGGCACTTCCATGCCGAGTAATTACGAAGAAGTGAGAAATATTATAAATACCACTGATTGAAGTGTTATTTATTTATTCACTGTCAAGTGACAGGGATATCAAAAACCTGTGTGTTCTTCGAAGAGTAGCATGACTCTACGACAATCACTAATAGTTTAGTGGAAAAAATTGTCATTCAATGATCTTATCTTTCGAATGAGTCTTTTTCACTAGGAATATCATGTAGTTATGAGGTATAGTAATGGAAAATGTGTTACTTTGTTGCATGAACGCATTCTATGAAATATGAGTTCTCAACATTCTTAATTGATAATGTAATGAATATGTATCCTTCGTCCCCCAGATCATTTCATTTCCTGAACTCATCTAAGAAACTATCCATTGTAGGCTAAAAATGAATAGAAACTTCTTCATTGGGAATTTCATGTTGTTCAATTTTATTGGGTGATCCTGAGTTGAGGCATCGTAGATAATAGTATATTACACACCGTGGTGGGAAGTGATCCATTCCTGTCGTGAGATTAGTTAGTTAGCTATAATCTCGAGACAGGAACGACACTTCCTACCGAGGTTTGTATACTATTTCAATTTCAACTATCATATGTCGATCAAAATTAATAATTCTCTCTTCCGTTCTGAACATACCTAAAATATAACATAAGTGATAGCGGGAAGTGAAGGTGTGTTACTTCTCCACCTTCAATGACGTGAGTTATGACAACATTACATATATTATGGTTGTAAATAAATAAATTTTCAACACTCGAACACATTTATTCTCTCAGGATGACTTGTACACAGGAGACTTTTTATGAAATACAACGAACGATCAACGACGAGAACCGATGAATCGTCCGCTTGTGATAAGGCATTCTTTAGGTGTTCTTTTCGTATACGGGGTGGGGTGACTTGAACTTCGTCTCTAACAATCGGGTCGATTCTGTTTGCAAATTGCAATATGACTGTAGAGAAGATATTGCTATCATAGCAAGATTCGAGGAAGTGGAATTCTAATCATCGATTTTTGTTGAAATAATCTGTGAATTTCAATGACATATTGTTAGCTTTCTTGCTATCTCGACAACATCAATCTTATAACAAGGTAGAAAATGGCAGTGGAGTCTTTGTTTTTGCACTAAAATTCTTCCAAGTGTTTGAAATTTTTCAAAATAGGTGATTGAAAACATATGATAGTTGACTTGTGTATAACTGAACCAAGTACCTATTCGAGAACCTTTCCTAAAAATTTCAATTTGTAGAGGAATTATTGAAAAATTTCGAAAGAAGGTGATTATAAACATATATAGGTTCACTTGTCTGATGAACTACTTGAAAACCTCTCCTTGAGGTTCAAATTTGTACTTTGTAGAGAAATTATATGAGAATACAATTCCGGCATATAATCAGAGAAACCAGGAAACCAATTGAGTTGCCTGATGGAAGATTTATCAAACGATTTCCCTTAAATGAGCCAGCAACGTGAGTTTTTCCGGTAATATGAATCGGTTTCTTTTCCAAAAAAATTCACGATAATTTTCACCCGTCTTTCAGTTGTTTTTCTATTTCAGGGACATGATTGTTTACTTGCACCACTTGCACAACAACTTCCAAATTCAGCAATTACAAAAAACTGTCAATTTGAATAATATAATGTTGAAAAATGTCATAGAGCAGGACAGACTAATTTGGGAGGTTAGATATAAACTCTTCTTCAGGAAATAATGGCAATAACAGTACCTTTATCATTCAACAAATGAGTTAGAAACAGTGTTGTCAGCACAAAAATTCTCCATTTCTTAACAATATTGCTATTACTTGAACTTATAATCAATTATGCAGTTCCTGTCCAAACAGAATACAGAATAGCCTAGCAATATTGTTATATATTATGATCATAACGAAATCATTATCTCAGCAATGTCACAACAAGATCAGAACAGAATCGACTCGAATATGTATATCCCTTCTCAAATTATTCGATAATAACTTGAAAAAATAATTTTTCAAAGTACCCCCTACCACTCCGCTCATCTCTTGAGGCTCAGGAATTTTATAACCCCTACCGCCCCGCTCATCTCTTGAGGCTCAGGAATTTCATAATGTACATACTTTATTGCACTTTTCTCTACCACTCTGAAGTATTTGCGACCACATGACTTTTTCTTCAATTTTTTGTTCGTTTATACTGAAATACTTCTCCCCCTTCTTTTCAAGGTGGAAAGTGGGCGCCTGGACCAAATGCCGAGCCTGCAAGAACCGCTCTGGAGTACGGTCCCGCGAAGTCGAGTGCGTCCAGGAATCCCCGAGGGCCGGCGCCGAGGACATCCTGGTCGACGACGAGCGTTGCGACGGCGCCAAACCGGCGTCGCAGGAGCTGTGCGACTCGCACGAGACGTGCCAAGCGAGACGGAGGGAGGTAGAGGAGGAGATACCCGAAGAGATGCTGCGGGAGGTCCGGGAGCAGATCGATAGGATGGCGAAGAGGAAGAGGGAGCTGGTACGTACGGAATTTTACACTTGTAGCATCTGGATTCATTTTGTTATTCACTAAAACCGATATCAACCAGATGACCAAATTTTTTTTGTGGGTTCTAAATGCGATCCTTACCATTGGGATCTCGGAAAATACCTAGCAAACATACAGTGAGGACGTAAAAAGTCCTCCCACTCCTTTACCCTTTGAACGGAACTCACTACTATTTGGCGTAAAAATGGTTGTGGTGTACAGCTGCAAGATTGTGACATATCTATAACAGTCAATTATGGGATGACATGATAAATATGCGTACATCAAGCCGTGGCGGCACAATCGATGTCATTCTAACACTTTGCCGATATCGGATTGCCGTTGCCGATACATATCCACCTCTGACAGCTATTGCCCAGCTATTTACCGCCTATTCATGTTTGCTGGGTAAGAAAGAAACTATCGAAGATGATTAAATCAGGGCAAAGTTGCGTATTCATGTAGCTCACAATATTCCGTTCAGAAAGTTCCGAAATTGCAAGTATGTCCGGAGATATCCGGAAAAAAAAGAAATTTTATAGAATTTCTTTTATTGAAAAGGAATATTCTCAGATAAATTATGAACATACAAAAATTGATATATATTTATATAAAGCAATACTTTGAGAAATCGCATTCTCTATGTGATGAGAATATTTACTCTTTTTCAGTTGATTCAATAGAAAACAACTACTTTCCTGGCTATATGCCACGACGAACATCGAATTATATCTATTGAACACACACGATAAGAGTTTGAAAATAAAATATAAAAATTTCTAGAATTGAGAAATTGCATTCTCCTTCAGACAAAAATAGGTATATACACACATCATTCTGAATATTCAACAGAAAACAACTACTTTCCTGGCTATTTGCCACGTCGAACATTGAATTATATCTGATGAACATTCAAAAGGGAATATGAAAAATAAAGAATAAAATCCTCCGAAATTGAGAATTGACATTCTTCTTCAAATCGGATGAATAATATGATGAATAATGTTCTAGAAATATGACTTACCAATATATTCAGCATTGAAATGAAAATTGGAATGTATAGGAGAAGTATACTGTCATGAACTCTGATCTTGATGAGCTTGAAAACGTCCAACCATTCATATCAGTGATATGGGAAATATTTTCTCTCACACACAGGTTATATGAATTTATTGCAATGAACCCATTTCGGATCTCAGAATCCTCATCAGTAACCATGAAAAAGAGTAAATATTCTCATCACATAGAGAATGCGATTTCTCAATGTATTGCTTTATATAAATATATATCCATTTTTGTATGTTCATAATTCATCTGAGAATATTCCTTTTCAACACTTTTATACCCAATCAGGGGATTCAAACTTGAACGATGGAAACTTGTGATTTTTATAGAGCTCTAATCGCAGATTCGTGATAGAGTCCCAATTCAGAATTCATTTCCACGCCCTGTATGATGAATGTCAATTTATCATACACCCAAAAGCAAAATTTCTTTTATATTTTGCTGGTTTCATTCAATCTAGGATTGCAACATGTATCGCAATTTTGCATTCTTAGTTTTCCTCTAGTACATGATGGTGCTTCCAGAAAAAATAAAGGCGATGATGGTGGCTGAAAGAAGAAACGTCAGTTAATAAATTTGGAAGCACCATCATGTAGTAGAGAGGAAATGACATTGCAAAAGTGCGATTCATCTCAAAATCCTAGAATAAATAGAGCCAGCAAAACATTGAAATCAAGTTTTCGAAATTCCGGTATTTTCCGGATATCTCCGGACATAATTGGAATTTCGAAACTTCCTGAACGGCATATTGTTGATTAGGTGAATACGCAACTTTTCCTCGATTCAACCATCTCCTAAAGTTTCTGGGATCCCAATGGTAAGGTTCGAATTTGAAACTCCAGTTATGATTGCCTTTCAGTTTCATTTTCGTATCACTCCTTCCATTTCAGGTGGTATGATGAAAATAGTTTCCTGAATGTTCACAACCACACTTTCAATGTCTCAAGTCGATTCACAAACCAATCCAATTTTTAAAATCATATTATGAACTGAAGTCCTCACATATGTAGCAATACGTTCATTATGTCTTTTATAAGTTTCTTGTTGGTATCATTCTAGAACATCTAGCATTTGTGCCCTTCAGCAAAGTACTTATATCGTCATGGAATTTCTGAACTGAAGATATCCTTGTTGAAACTATAGAATTCATCTATTTTCAAAGTGCCTCAACATACATCATGGATGATGAGTGATTCAATTATGTCGTATTGTCTGATGATGGCCGTTGTGCCGAAACCAGTCACTATTCAATTATATTTCCATGTGTTGATAAAGTGTGGTCGATTGACTTTGGATTTGTCGTTCCTTTAATATCCTTGCTCATCTACTGCTCAATATTCTGAAGATATCTCAGAGGGCAAACACAAGTAAGCAGGCCATACTAGGTTCATTTTTGATAAGATTCGAGAGCATTCAACGGAATTTGATTGACGAACAACACATCTTTGAAATTTCGAAAAGACGCCTGAGACTGCTACTCGTGTTCTCACCGTACTACATATAGTACACCTTAGAAGTGTGTTCAGAAAATAGCTCACGTTTGAAATTGGATTCCGTATTACAAGAACGTGAATCGGTAAGCAGCGGTTTTGGTGAGCTAGGAGACAACTGCAGGTATGTCATGTCAAGATTGAATAAACAACTGAGATAATCCATAAATGAAAGAAAAACTCCAAGTCGGTCGACCACACTTTAAAGCGTGGTCGACCAACTTGGAATTCCTCTTCCATTTAAGAATACTGTGGGGCCACTTTGAGAATAGATGATTTCCATAGTTCAACTGGAAACATGATTGCACTGACCTGATTCAGACAGGACCAGACTAAATTCAACTGTACTCAATGAAGTACAATGGGCATAACTGGGTATGTTCAGATGAATTTGATATACCTACTTTCATGAAATTTTTCACTCTCAATACCAAGAAGCAATGATCATTATCTCCATCAGGACCTCGATGGCCTACTGTCGGCCATAAACTCCAACAACAACGGGAGCAAAGATGCGTGCCACGCAAAGTCCAATTCCTCCAAGATTAAGTTCAATGTGGGCGAGATCATCAAGGATCGCGTGCCTCAGGAGGAGATCAAGCTGATCAAGGTGCCTTTCAAGCAGTCTCACGAGGCACTAAATTTGTCTGACAATGCGTTTGAAACGATGGGAGACTCGGTGGGAGATAATCTGGATACAGGACACGCGGAGATCTCAACTGGAGAAGCTGCAGCCAGGATTCTGAAGGAGCTGCAGCATCCTGAAGAGATGGTGAATCGGACAACGACCAGGAGAAGTTCTAGTAAGGGGGCTGTCACGGTAAAGACAGGTTCAAGGAAGAAAGCTTCGACGACAATCAGGAAAGTCAAGACAACAACTCGTAAGAGTCACGTTGAAGAGAAGCAGGAATAGTAATGTATGTTCAATTTTGCTAGAGGAATGGTATACTTGAAGTCAATAAAAATATTTTACTATGGAGTTTCTTGATTCTGACTGTGTATCTGTGAACATCCATATCATCAGAGGCTATCAGAACTGAAATCATTGGAAGAAGGAAACATCGAAAAACCTATAGAATAAGGTGTTGCAAGAGGCCCAAAGTTGAATATAATCGTAAGATATCAGAATATCATTTCACTTAGTCTTTAATTTCAATACCATAGTACCAGGGGCCAGGTAGCCGTGCGGACAGAGTGTCGGTATTCTAATTCGCATTCGATTGCCGGTCGTGGGTTCGATTCCCAACGACTGCAGACATTTTTCTGATGGCCCAAGAAAGTGTTTGGGATCACACGTTGAAATGTAAGGCCCCCGTCATTCCTTGCTCGCACAAGACTCTTGAAGACTTCTGAGGGTTGCTCGTAAGGGGGCAACCGAATGACGGATAGAACAATTTTAAAACAATTTAGAATTTCAACTGTATCGAAGTGAAATAAGGCATAGGTGAGTAGTATGTTGAGAGTAGAGTTTCTGCAGAATTAATTTTTTTGGTTACTACCGGTTTCACTAAAAATGGTTCCGGTTTCGATATTTCAATCCTTAATATTGTGATATTTCCGGGCAGAGTTTCATTTTGCAATTGCATTCCTTCGTTGATTCCAGCACTGGAACCAACATCCATTGGAAGCAATTTTGATATTGCATTATATTGAGGAACCTTCATTATTCGCTCATAAAAATACTTGATGAGAATAGCTGCAGAATACTATGGCTATCTATGGCATACTTGACGATGGTAAATGATTCATTATCCAGTACTTGATCGCAAATAATCTAGTGAAATGCTTGTCAAATGGTTGCCATTTGAAGAACGATAGGTACTAGAATGAGAATTTGCAAACCTGTTTCATTCCTATCTATTATATTAGAATCACAAAATCTTCGACAATTGTCATTTTCTGACACCACCTGAGGTGCTTAGATTTGTTTGAATCCAATCATGGCCACCTATATAGTAACAAAGATTGAAATCTCAATCTATGATAGTAATATCAAAAGTGACGCTTGAAGAATGAAGTAGACGTGAAAACTTTTGGAGATGTCACATTCTCAGCCAGGTCTGAAAATTCCATAAGATAAAGGGTGTTGTGTTCTCTATGAAAATTCAGAACTGAAACCATTTTCGATTGAATCGGGAGAAATCTGGATACAGGACACACACGGAAATCTCAGCTGGAGAAGAAAAAGCTCAGGTTCTGGATGAGCTGCAGCATCCTATAGAGGACAACGACTCGACAACGAGGCGATCTTGTTGAAGGAATGAGTCTCAAGCTCGAATAAATATATTATACCACGAAGTTTGTTGATTTTTGTGGTGTGTAGCTGTCGACATCCATATCATCAGATGTGAAATTACTAAAATCAAAGGAATAAGGGAACTTTGAAACACCTAAGATGAGATGGTTCAAGAGGTATGGAGTTTCTTATAATCGTAGGATATCAGAATATGAGAATCAAAAATGGCTGAATTCTCAATCCTGTATTTTTTATGTTTCCAGATTTTTGAGACATACCTTTCTTTTAATTGCATTCCTTTGTTGGTTCATGCACTGGAACCAATGCCTCAAAGGTCTTAACTTGTGCGTAGTTGAGAAAACATAGATACCAGCACCGCTCCGTCGGTTCCAATGCCTTCTTACTTTTTCAGAGTCACTTTCAATATTGCATTAAATTGAGGAATTTTCTCTGTCGCACATAAAGTTCATGTCACTGCCATTTTCCAAGTGGAGGATTCATAAAAGAATACGCAATCCAGAAAATGCTTTTCAAATAGTTACCATTCGAAAAACGATATAGGCACGAAAATATAATTTTGCAAACTTGTTTTATTTCTATCTATCATCTTATTAATCACTAGAACTTCGGCGATTGTAATCATCTGAATTCCATACATTAGTTTACATCTTATCATGGCCAGGTTTAGGGTCTCTTGATGGAAATTGACGTTAAAGTCATCTTAACAGGGTACGGACAGATCATAGCTGCCTTCTTTTCTATTGATCTAGAGACTTCAGTTTTGTCTACTGGCATTCTTGACATTGCTGTCACGTCACATTCATGAACGCTACAAAAAATCATTCAGAATTTTAATTAAAAGTATGTTCAGGGTATTTACTTGTTGAGGAAAATCATATGGCGATAACGAGTTTTGTAATTATGATCCGATTCGATTCAAAATTGGGAGGTATCTATGGTTTTCCGGGGTTAGATATAATGATTGATTAGTCAAACTTGGAAAATTCAAGTTGACGAATCCAATATGCCGAAAGACATCAGTTTAATTATATGTGTGATGATTACTCTACCACAAATAGAAAATATGTGGGATGCAAGAGTGAAAATAACGTGCCTATAAGTTATACTGCGTATACTTAGCGTATATCTACTTCTTTGTTACTTTCCTCAATAAACTATTCGAAAATGACTTTCAATTTGAGGGAGACGGAAGAATCATATGTATAACATGAGGGTAAAGTACATTCTATTCTTAATTTTCCTGCACATTTTACGTATTACTTTTCATCCTAGACGAAGACTCCATGAATTCTTCCACGAGTTGGATTTTCGAAAATTTATTTAGCACACATGACATGAGTACAGTAGTTTAGGTTTCTCAATCATAAGCCTCAGCGCATTCAGCTCCTAGATAAACTACTGTTCAGCTCGAAATCAAAATTCATTCAGTCAATTCAGTCAACCCTGGTATACAGTCTAAGAACAGTCTCTGTTGGTAGAATATATTGTGCTTTCAGTACAATTTATATGTTCCCTACCTCGCAAAGATTATGCTGGAGTAGTCAACTCTTAAACTAGAGGATTGTTCATCTTATCTTGGTATAGTGGAATCAGGAATTCCATATGGAAATACGTATGATACGCCAGTCACCTATATAACCTAAAAAACAACGAATGTCAAAAATCTAGTGTTTATCCCCAGCATTGAATGAGGATGGAACTATATAACTGTTTCACAAACACTTTAGAGTGAGAGTAGACGAGGATCTCTCCGTACCCTGTTATGATGACTTTAACGTCAATTTCCATCAAGGGACCCTAGTCAGGTAGACAGCAATAACAAAATTGACACTGAGAGATAGGAGTGGATGTCGAAACTTCCGGAACTGTCACAATCTAATGAAGGAATCTGGAAATGCAACAATATGCAGGCTGTTGCCTCTAAAAACGACCAGGAAAAGGCCGAGAGTCCGTTTCAGAGCCCCCATTCGTCCCAACGCTAGAGCTCTCACTAGTCCGCTTTTCCCCATCTAGGGCCCCCCCTAGCCTTCTGGCCCAAGCCAAGGGATGGGGTGGGGATGAGCCTCATTTCATGTGTCCATGATCATTCCCTGAACAGCTCTTTTCCTTCCACCGATAAGGGCCATGTGTCTCTTGAGTATACAATGACCTGTTAAAAAAAATTTTCAGTCCTAAACTTTCACGAGTACGTTCAGCTGGTTCTCTTGAAAAAATTGCATTCTCCAAACTAACTGGAAGTGATCTGCATATTGTATGAGCTGCGTAAAATCACAATCCCACTTCCCACACGGAATCCGATTTTTGTTATATCAAAAACCCTCGACAAGACCCCAGTAGCTGTTGGTATGGTGTAATCGTATGTTTGAAAATTGCGGTTTCGCCCCAGCTGGCATATAATGAGATGTCGTTCATGCGTAAGGATTATTCAAAATTTGTAATATGTCACATGCGGCAAACAATTTAACGCAGCCAGGCAACCGCAAAGTAAATACGCTCTGTTTGTTTCTGATCTGAATTCGCACTGAATAACGGTAATGTTTTTCTGGATGGAGCCGGAGCAGGAAGAATCCCACAGTTTCAGGGCGTAGGATAATTTGGTGGCAGGTGTGGGATTGGTTAACAGTACTCATAAAATATCTCAATGAGGCATGATTACTTTTTCAAACATGAGAAAAGAGATAACGATTGTTCTTTCTTGTATATTTTGACAATTTACGTCTTGAAGGATATGACAGGCTCATTCTCTTTCGAAAAGATGGAAATTGAAGAACAGTATTTTTTAACGCCATCTTGAGAACCGATACTGAACAAACATAATTATTTCTTTGTTTTTGAAACGTTATTTATTGTTTATCGTTCATTGAGAAAATAGCTTTCAGTCTGAAATAAAATTCTGGTATGAGGAAGTTGATTACAAACAACAATAATATAATAATATAGGGTGACAATAACAAAATATCTGGAAATGCTGAATCGTTCAATTTATGGAAATAGCAACAGAGACTGATCAGTAGATAGCAAAGTATCAATTCCATTCATTTCGTAATGAAATCATGAGTTTTTTCAATGCAATTTTGAATTTCAATATATGTTGGGATATCAAATGAGAGGCGATAAAATAAATTCAGAGATTTCTCATAGAGTGCAGATATTTTACTGAAATTATTTTTTGAACAAGATCCCCAAACATTTATCATATAAGTAATGCGACTGAGTACATGAGAATGAAGTACTATTTTTATGATTCTTCCATCAAGTTTACGACATCTTCGCTGAGATCCAAAGATTTTTTTGTATTAGAACATTATATGCTTGTCCCATTTCAATATTTCATCAATCCAAATACCAATATGATACTCCATTCGTGCAGTTCTTCTGGAAAACATATGGGATAGTGAAATAATATCGAAATCATAGGAAAGAAAGATCACAACCAAGTGAAAAATAAATCAAGGATTCTGCTCGCATTCTGCTGTACGGAGACAATAGCATTGCTTTCTGTTCAGTTGATATTGATAGAACATGGTATTCACTACTAAAAACATGAAAGAAACATTTTTTATATTTTTATGTTGAGAAGCGAGCAGATTTGTTCACGAAACAACCAAAGATAAGTGGAGGACCCCTCAGCTAGTACTTGACGTTAAACTTGTTTTATACACCTCCCTTGAGTATTCCTTCTGAAAGGAGCACTCACACTTGGCAACAGTGTATAATTTCAG